TCAATCCCTCAGTTTTCTCCGAGACCGATTCCCCTGAACAAGCCACTAACCTTTTTTTCCCTATCTTGACTCCTTGGTAAAGCAGTTCAACTCTCCACTGCCCTCTTCTCTTAAGTTTCTAGTCCCCTTAACATATTTCCAGTTGTATCCTCCCAAGCCTCAGCCTTGGACCACTCCCACAATCTTCTGCCTTACCTCCTCTTATAAATGTGTTGCTGAATGAAGATGGAGAAAATCATTGGGTGCACTACAAATTTATAGCACACGACTTCACCCCACTGCTACTAACCAATCTTATTATATTTCCCTCATCAACTAACTGTCCGACTCTCCACAATATCCATTTTAAACTTTATCTCTCCTCAAACTTCCCCTAACTCCCCTTCCCCTTACTCTTTCAGTTGAAAAACTTGCCTCCTATTTTACTGAAAAAAATTGAGGCCATTCACAATGAGCTTCCTCTTCTCCCTTTTTTCATCATCTCATGTCACTCATATACCTCTGCCATTCTATCTTCTTTCATCCCTGTCTCACATGATGGTTTTACTTCTTTCAAACTGTAACCCTTTTGCCTACTCAAGCAATCCCATTCTATCCCATCTTCTCCAACAAATTGACTCTTTTATCATCTCCACCCTGTCATTATTTTTAATCTCTTCTTGGCTGATGGATCCTTTCCTATTACTTATAAACAGTCCCATGTTTTCTCCATCTTCAAAAACCTTCACTTAATCCTACCATCCCCACTAACTGTTGTTCTGTATTATCTTCTGTCCTTTCTTACCAAACTTTTAAAAAGCCATTGGGGGCAGCCATAGAGCTCAAGCCTTGGAGTCAGGAGGACCTGAGTTCAAATGTGACCTCAGACACTTGACACTTACTAGCTGGATGACCCTGGGCAAGTCACTTAATCTAGATTGCCTCACCAAAAAGCAAAACAAAAGAAAACAAAACAAAAGCCATTTGTAATAGGTACCTCCAGTTTCTCTCTTCTTATCCTCTTCTTAACCCCTTACATTCTGACTTCAGACCTTATTATTTCACTGAGATTGCTCTCTCCAGAGCAATCAGTGATCTCTTAATTGCCATACCCAAAGGCTTTTTTCTCAATCTCATTCTCCTTGACCTCTCTGTACATTTTGACACTGTTGATCACACTCTTTAGGCTTTTCTTACTCTAGCATTGGTACCAGAGCAAGCATTGGCCAAAGAGAATAGTTAGTTCGTTAGTTTTGATGGCAGAACTCAAGATGGCAACTTCATAATAAAAAAAAAAGTGTGCATTTCCAAATATTCCTTATCAGTTCTGATGAAAAAGTCTAAGATCACCAGCTACTTCTTCCTGATTATGCATCTTAACAAATCTTAACAATCCGCTAAGGCCATTTTCGTCTGCAGTTAGAAGCACCATGTAACCTTTATTTCCATCATCAGTCAGTTCCATAGTCTATGTGTTGTATAATTTCAATTCTTAAAACAGTCCCCAAGGAAGGGGGAATAAAAAAGGACAATTCAATTCAACAAATAATTATTAAGCATCTAAATTATGCTAGGTGATAGGGATAAGAAAAATGAAAAATGACAAAATCTTGGCCTTCAAAAAGCTTACAAGTCTACTGGGAGAAGGTGGATATGAGATATATACAGCTAAGTATGATACATGGCAGGGATTGATGAGGATAAAGTGCTCTACAGAATTTTCAAGGAAAAAATCACTTTCCATTGGGATGAAGGGGAGGCCAGAGAAGGCTGCAATCTGATGGAAACTAATTCTAGAGCTCACTAAATGACAGGTGATATAATTTCCTAGAGTCAGGAGAAAAAAGACCATATATAAGACATAAAAGCTGCTATAGCATAGGGTGGTAGATGACTAGAGTATTTAGGGGAGGGATTTGTCTTTAAACTCAGCTTATTGATACCTGAATGACCTTGAACAAGCCATCTTTTGACCTTTAGTTTCCTTTTCTGAAAAATCAGGGCAATGATCTCTAAGACTGTTTTCAGATTCTTTGATCTGACTTTAAAATATTTATGAATTTTTTGTTCTCTTTGGTTCATCATCCACCTAAGCAGATTGAAACTTCTATATAGGTTAGTTGAATAATCTTTGTGAATTGCTGTAGCCAACAAAATTCCATCACCTGCTGCCCAATTCTCTATTATTGAGCTTCCACAGACTTAGCTTATTTGATCCTTGAAAAACAAACAAGTGGATTGATATGAAACCTTTCTGACTTTGTCCTCTGTCCTATCACAATTTGTCCTCTGCTGGCCTAGCATACATAGCCTTCAAGAACTGAGTGTTACCTCCATGCGACAATGAGATGTTGGAGTGGCATTTCAATAGAGCATTATGGTTTCATTTTGCAAATAGGATTTGATTTGTAAAAACTTGATTTGCATGCAACTTTTGAGACTGCATAAAGCAAGCTACATATATACAAGACATGTTCTGTGTAGCAAAATCATTTATGGATGGTTGGTACAGAGTGCTTTATTTAACTCATCACAAATAAATCTCTTATAGTGAATATAGCCTATACAACAAATCCTTTCTTTTGTTCTCCCTAAGTTATGTTCACTCTTTAGAAAAAAAAAGTATTGTTGACTTATAGCTGAACTTTTCATTATTTTTTCCATCATGTAACAATTTACTCTTTACCTCTGCCCACCCATTCCCATTTCAGCCACCTTATAGAATACCTAGAAGGTCGGTTCAAGTGCTAGTCCAAACATTCTGATCCATTTTGATTTTTTATTTTAGTGTAAACAGGGTGATTGGCCTCTGAAATCATAAGCAGACATAGCCCTATATTGTCCTGAAACTGAACTTTAACAATTAATTTATTAAGTGCCTAATATATACAGAGTCCTCAATTAGTTGGTACAAGAGATCAAAAGATTTAATAAGCCAGGACCCCTCCCCTCATGGAGTTCACAGTCTATTAGTGGGATAAGACATATACAGCTGTCATACAAAATTATATCTGATAATTACAGGAGAGAACTGAGTCTCCTTTGTGGATCCAAAGGCAGTAGAAAGCATTATTTACTCAGGAGACCAAGCAAAATGTTTTGAAGGAGGTAGCATTTGAGTTGGGCCTTAATGGGTGGAATTTCACTTCTAAGTTCTTATAGACTATTGGAACACAAACCCATGATTGCATTCAGCATGGGGGATCCCATTTCTAAATGGAAGCATGCAAGTAAAAGAAAGGAGTCTCATCTTACCTTATAAATGGTCTCAGGTTTTTAAGCAGCTGTCATCCACTCAGTAAAGGAGAAGCAGTATTAGAGTGTTAGGCTAAACAAGTGGTCATTAAGACATTTGGCAAGTGGTTGACTTGAGATGATGCTCCCCGGAGCAGAGGATGAGGATTTAAGAGTTAAGGATGATCATAGTGCTTTTGCTGGTTATGTATCCAGAGTCCAAGTCTCCTTCTCTGGCTTCACTTATTTGCCATCCACCACTGCCACCAGAATCACAGCCCTTCCTTCTGTGTCTAAAATTAGGGGAAGTATGGTAGAGTATCAAGGATGGAGGCAGAGGAAACACAGGCTGTGGGCCAGTTCAAGAAAGCAGACTGGGATAGTGATGGAGAAATACAAAGGAAATAGCCAAAGAGTATTATCAGACTGAGAAGAGAAGCAGGGAAAGGTGCCAGCAAAAGGATATCTCACAAATATCTCAGATGTCCACTATGGTGGTAGATATGCCACAGGCACTAGAGAAAGACATGGCTATCAATGGATCAGCGGGTCAGCTATGTTATTTTCAAGACTAGTATAAGTAAGCCTACATTTCAATGATTGGTGGGAAGGCAATAATTCAAATACTTTCTGTGGCTTAAAAATGCTGAACACATTTGCACTGAAAAAAATGAAACAACTGTGGCTACGTATAGCAGTTTTCATTTTTCTTTTGCCAGTATCTAGCTTTCCAAATGTGGGGAAGAAATTGGCAGAAATAGTGTGAGAAAAATCACGGGAGAACAAAAACTAAATTACCAACAACTTAATAAATTAAGTTAACAAATGATCAACATATATTCATTCTCTCATTCAAGCATTCAGTTAACATTTATTTCTTACTGTGTACAAAGCACTATACCATATGCTAGAAGAGAAAAAATTTTCAAAGGTACACAATATAGATGAAATATAAGTTCTCTAGCTTCAGGAGTTTATATTCTATTAGTATGTATAAAGAACAGATACTTATGAGTAGTTGTTCACCGCAAGTATCTATGCGACCTTTTCTACAATTTCTATTCTTTTGAGTAATCTGGGTCACTGAGAAGTTAGGTGAGTTGTCCAGAGTCACCCAACCCACATAGGTCAAAGACAGGTTCTGAGGCCTGCTTTCTATGTACATTTTACTGCTGATATTCACATTTTTGGTGTGAGTAAAACGACTTTTGTCTTTGCCCATACTATCCCCATACCTTTAAATCCTTCCCTTCTCCAGTCTGCCTTCTGTTAAGGGTTAATGCCTGGTCTACTTACTATGATCAGTCTTAATTGTTAGTGATCATTCCTTCCACCTATACTCATTTATGTACTTATATGTTTACATTTTATGCCTCTTCCACTGTCTCCCTGTAGAGTGAACAAGAGCTATTTTTTTTTCTTTTGTGTTTGTGTCCTTAACGCCTTGCACATATGGAGATACTGCTTGTTGGATTGGACTGTACTTAGCACCTTTTCGGAAGAAATACTAACAACATAAATAACTGGAACTACTCTGCTTATGCGGATTGATGTCTTCAAGGAAGAACAGTATGCCATTTTAGAATGTGTAAATTAAGTTTAGGATGAAAGAAAACTGTCCAATACCTTGTACATATTACTAAATGTTAAATTTGTTAAATTGCTTCATGTGCTATAATATTGACTGGTTTCCAACCCTCTCACCCCAAAGCAAAGCAAGACTCTCTATTTTTCAAATTCCTTTGTGTTTATTTTATTTTAATAGTTGTTTATTTGTTTGTTTCTAGGTTTTCTTTAGGGGATGCTAGAAGGCCACTTCATGAAACAGCGGTCTTAGTAGAAGATATTGTTCATACCCAGTTGATTAATTTGGTAAGAATATATATTGCCTTGTACGGAATGACCCAATATAGAATGTTATTTCACTCATCACATATGGCTCTCCATGAATACTTCTTTCCCCTTCTCTTTTTACTGTGTTAGTTCTGTTCACCAAAAGTTGTTTCTTCAACTGAGTGCTAAGAAAAAAAAGCATTTTTGTCATCTAATTAAAATAATTACCATTAAGGTTTAACCTTTCCCAAGGTATTTACATTTTCAGAGAAGAAGATGTTGAACCAAATGAAGCTGTAATGGCTAGAGGCAGCAGGTGGTCCAAGGGACAGAGGACTGGGCCTGGAGTCAGGAAGATCTGAGTTCAGTTCCAACCTCAGATGCTTACTGAACTGTGTGACCCTGGGCAAGTCACTTAACATCTACAGACAGATCTTGCTTTACATAAATGGACTAGTCCTTCAACCTCTACATAAAGTCATTACATAGTGTAAGTTTGCCCATGGATTTAGGGAAAGGATAGATGGAAGGGGAGCCACTGAGGCCAGGCCAGTCATGTTGGAGTCCAGCCAGCCATGTGGAAGCCTGACTGGAACCGAGAAGAGGAAGAAGAGGTGTTGTGCACAGATAAGAGATGATAGGGACACGTGGGAGAGGGGACAGACATAAGACAGACACATGAGGATCTGAACTGTGAGTCGAGCAGGGCAAAGGTCTCCTCTCTTGGTGCTGAGCTTGAGATCAAAATACCTGAGTTCAAAGGCAATATGGTATAGTGGGAAGGTTGCTGTCTCTGGATTCCTCAGCCTGGGGTTTAAATCCCTCCCTTGTCAGCTCTGTAACCTTGAGTAAATCACTTTTACTCTCTGAGCTTCAATTCCCTAATCTATAAAATACAAAATATAAATTTATATTAAATCAGAGGGTTGTACTAGATGGCCTTTGAGGAACTTTCAAGTTCTCAATCTGCATTCCCATGATTTTCTGTGATCTAACTCTGACATTTATTATCTGTATGGTCAGAGATATGTCACAGCCTTTCTGAATCTCGAATTCCTCATCTGTAAAACAGTGTTAATGATATCTTTACTACATACCACTCAGGGTTGTTGTGAGAAAAGCACCTGGTAAATCTGTAAGGGCTCTATCAGTATGAACTGTCATTCTTTATTTAAGTTACATTTTTTAAAAAATCAAGTAAATTTTAGTTCAGTTTATCATTCAGGAAAATAATAGCTCAAGTGACTTTTTTAAGCTTTGATTTAAAAATATTAATATTTTATATTACATTATATGTTATATAATAATAAAATATTAAATATTTTAAAATTGTATAGTTTTATAAGCTTTCAGTTATTACATATTAATAGCCATTATTATCAAATAGGAAGTTATTCTTTTCCACAATTCCTGTAAACAGTTTCGATCTTAGAGTCATTAAGGTTTGTTCTGAACTACATCATAAAGGTTAAGTTAAAAATTCCAATTAGTCTCACAGACTTCAAGGTTAGGTTGGTTCCCTGACCTTTTTAAAAATGTGTATAATCAAGCTATGATGACCTTATTGTTATTGATCAAGTAAGCTGATGGAAATAAAAGAAACACTTGCCCTTTGATTTTTTTTTTTAAGTTGAAGTTTATGTGAACCCAATTTTCGGTAATCTTCACAAACTGACTATTGTTTGAAAACTTTTATCCTCTGACCTGGCAGTCACCTTAGAACGTGTATTTACTTGGATGATCTTCATGTCTTCATACTCTTTTATTTGGGGATTTTTTTTTTTTTTGCCAGCTGTGAATAGGACCTTGACCACTGTTTCAGGAAGAGCTGTGAAAGATAAACATTAATTACAATATGAAAATAGGATTAATTATTATCCAAGCATAGTGTAGTGAAAAGAGAAATAGATTTGGATTTGAATTCAAATATGGGCTTTACTACTTACTGCCTACATGACCTTCATCAAGATACTTCCCCTGTCTAGGCGATAGTTTCTTCAACTGTAAAATTTGGCATTTGAACTTTCCAGTTCCTTCCACCAGGGATGATCCTCAATCATATTTTACAGTTCCTCTTTCCAGCCTTTTCTTTATATGTGGTGTGTACTTGGGCACATGCATGCATACACGCATGTGCATACACATACATATAAACACAAATTTTCTCTATAGGTAAGTTTTCTTTCCTAGAAAGTCCTTTGTCGAAGCATAGTTGGACTCATAATAGCTTTATGCTATAGAATGATCAAGTCTTCTTGGGGAAGTAGTTGGTTAGGATCTCCTTATCTCATTAGGATAATCAATCAGTAAACATTTATTAAGTACCTACTATGTGCCAAGCACTGTGCTAAGTGCTGAGGATACAGAAATTGGTCAAAAAAAATGTTGCTGCCCTCAAAGAGCTTACAATCTAATAGTTAATATACTGACCAAGGAATTTAGGTTAGGCATGATAAATAAGGAAAGTTTGCCTGGAGTTGGCTAAGGACCCTATCTTTGATTTTTATCATTGAGATAAAAAAGAGCCACTAAGGGTTGTTGAACAAGAGTCAGTAATGGAGAATTGTGCTTTAGGAAAATTTGGTAGCTGTGTAGAGGATACATTGGAAATGAGAAGGATTTGAGACAGGAGAGACTGTTGCAGTATTTCAGGTGCTAGCCTGAACTAAGGTTGTGGTTCTAAGAGTGTAAAGTAAAGGAGGGAAATGATAGATATTACAGAGGTAGAATTAATGGGCCACTGAATGGATATGGGAATGAGGAAGAAAGGAGAATTGAAAATGGCCTTCCCATAACTTGGGAATCTGGGTGACTAGAAAGATAGTAGTATCTTCGAAAGCATTAGAGAAGTTAGAAAGAAGGATGAATTTTTGAGGGAAAGATGATGAATTCTGTTTTAGATATGTTGAGTTTGAGATACCTATAGCACCTTCACGTAGAAATTTCAAGCAGGTGATTGGTTGACCTTGAGCTCCAAAGAAATCTGAAGACTGGATAAGTAGATTTGGAAATCACCTGCACAGAGTAAACCCACAGAACCTGATGAGATCACAAAGAAAGAATACGCAGAGAAAACGGACCAGGACAGTGCACTGGGGGACACTTACGATTATCAGGCTTTTCTGGATGATGATTCAGTGAAGGAGGCTGAGAGAGAGCCATCAGACAGTTACAAAGAAGACCAGGAGAGAGAAGTGTTACAGAAACTCTGTAAGGAGAGGATAGCCAATATGAAGAAGCAGTCAATACTATCAAACTCTACAGTGTTCAAGAAAGAGGAGGACTGAGAAAAGGATTCTGGATTTCACAATAGAGGAAGCATTAATTAGGAAGAGGAAGCATCTACTATATGCCAGGCACTATGCTAAATGCTTTACAAATATTATCTCTTTAATCCTCACATCCTTCTTTGATTGATAACTGGTCAAAGGATATGAACAGGCAGTTTTCAGATGAAGAAATTAAAGCTATCTATAGTCATATGAAAAAATGCTCTAAATCACTATTGATTAGAGAAATGCAAATCAAAACAACTCTGAGGTACCACATCACACCCATCAGATTGGCCAACTTGGCAAAACAGGAAAATGATAAATGTTGGAGAAGATTTGGGAAAATTGGAACACTAATAGAGTGGAGTTGTGAAGTGATGCAACCATTCTGCAGAGCAATTTGGAACTATGCCCAAACAGCTATAAAACTATGCAAACCCTTTGACCCAGCAATTGCACTTCTAGGGCTGTATCCCAAAGAGATCATACAAATGAGAAAAGGACCCACATGTACAAAATATTTATCGCAGTTCTTTTTGTAGTTGCAAAGAATTGGAAATTGAGAGGATGCCCATCAATTGGGGAATGGCTGAACAAGTTGAATGTAATTGGGGAATGGCTGAGCAAGTTGTGGTATATGAATGGGATGGAATACTATTGTGCTATAAGAAATGATGAACACGCTGACTTCAGAAAAACCTGGAAAGACTTGTATGGTCTGATGCTGAGTGAAGTGAGCAGAACCAGGAGAACGTTGTACACAGTAACAGCAACACTGTGCAATGACTAACTTTGATAGACTTAGCTCTTCTCAGCAATGCAATGATATAAGACAACTCCAAAAGACTCATGATGGAAAATGCTATCCACGTCCAGAAAAAGAACCATGGAATCTGAATGCCGATAGAAGGAAACTATTTGCTCTCCTTTTCTTTTGTTGTTTTGTTTTATTTCTTCTTTCTTGTGGTTCCTCCCATTGGTTCTAATTCTTCTTTACAATATGACTAATGTGAAAATACGTTTAATATGAGTGTGTGTGTGTGTGTGTGTGTAGCGTATATCAGATTGCACCCCGTCTTGGGATAAGGGGAGGAGAGGGAGAGAAAATTTAGAACTCAAAATCTTATGGAAGTGAATGTTGAAAACTAAATATAAATAAATTAATTAATTTAAAAAACATGTGCAGGGCACATTTGAGAGCAGGGACTGTTTTTGCTTTTTTTTTTTTTTTAATGCTTAGTACAGTGCCTGGTAGACAGTAAGGGCTTAAATGATTTGCAATTGAAAAAATAAAAAAGAGTAGCTTCTAAAGACCTAATCTCAAATCATTTAAAGTCAATTCAAAATTTATTAAGAAATATGAAAGGGGTTATGCTGGATAGTGTAAAAAAAAACCCGTAATTATATTTTTAAAAATCCTCACATCCCTGAAAGATAGGTGCTATTATATTGTGTGCATGTAGATAGATAGGAAGGAAGGAAGGAAGGAAGGAAGGAAGGAAGGAAGGAAGGAAGGAA